CTAAGGAAGAATTGAGAGGAGGGAGGCTGGGTGGCCTTGCCTATCCACTGAATATGCCGCCTCATAGCGATTCTTCGACGTTTATGTCACATGGTTGATCTGTCACGCTTTCCCCAACAGACGAGAGAGAACTAATTCTCGTCTTCATTTGCCCAACCATCGGTACACGAGATGGTTTGTGGTGGTGATCGCTCCAACCTTCCTGCTGTTAAGTAACTGTGAGAAGCTCAAGATTTATGGTGAGAGCGGTACTAATCATCCAAGGATTTACCAGTTTTCGTATTTGGAATAGATTTTTACAATAGTCGGGACGAATCTGTGCGTTCCACGTCCGTTTGAAGTAAAAGGCAAAGTGTATGAGAGGGGCTGAGAGGTACGGGGTAAAACTGTCCATTCTACAAACATTAATTCCTCAGTGGCAATGCATTGTCTCTCGCCGTCTCAGTTCCCGTTGATGTAGTTTTTTTGGTTTGAGTACTATGCACGTTTTTCAGTTGATGTGACGTCAGATCACAATGTGGACGTTTAAGAGTTTCTCGGTTCTGGACAGAGAGAGATTCAATTAATTGAGTGGAAATCACGTGTTTTGCGTCATCAGTGATCATAATGTCAATAAATTATTATTAATATTTTCACTTTTTCGTGAGTACCAAGGTTGGTGATCCCTGGTTTTAGGTCAGTATAGTGACGGGCTGGACAACCGGGGTTCGATTTCCAACAGGGGCAAATGATTTTTCCTCTAACCTCTGCGTCCAGACCGGCTCTGGGGCCCACCCAGCCTCCTGTCCAATGGGTACCGGGTACTTTCCTGGGGGTAAAGGACAGCCGGGGCGTGATACTGACCACATCTCTGATCGTTATGGGGTAATATTTATGAATGTGTGTCGTATCTGTTGTCATGGTAATGCTTTTGTGGGATTTTGGGTCTTCCTGGCTGTTTTCTGTTGTTACAGAATCTGTGACAGTAAACAGGGGTTGTTGTATATATGTCCTTGGTTCGTTTCCCAAATCGATATTCATAAATTTGTCTCTACTTACGGTTTAAGCCGTCATTGCACGAAGTCCGTAATTTAACAGTTCTAGGAAGAAGTCTGCTCGATTAATCTCTGAAGTTACTGAACGGATTTCGGTTAAATTTCGTACTGTACTTGCCTAAGTACCATCAATGAAGGTCGTATGGTGGGAGTGTTCTTGACATCGACTCTGGACTGAGGTTAGTGGTCAGCCTCACGTTCCGGTCGCTTTAACCTCAGGTTATTATTAATTAATATAGAATTAATTAACTCTGTGGTAACTATATGTACCACCTGTTGTAACGATAATTAACTCGGCGTTTAATTTTTATGAGTTTCGTATTTCCTTAAACAGCGTTAACCACTCGATCTTTGTAATGGTGAAGCCTTGTGTTTTCTTTGAGGTACGGGCTGAATCCTTAAATATTTATTCAGATGAACTTCAGCTTCAAAGGCTGTTACGTAAAATAACTTTAGTGCATCCATCCGTGTTTAAGTATCTTCATGCGTAAGCAGTTTATTATTCGCGCGCTGGGTTTTATGCATTCCCCCATTAAACTGGCCAGACGTTATTCGTTGTTTTAGTTTTAAATCAACCAAATAATAATTTAACTCTGTTTGTTTTGTTTGACATTTCTTTTTATCGCCGTGTGGTGACCTCAGACATCTACGCGTGGTGATACAGGAATCTTCTTCCTTCCCTGTACAGCAGATCACGTGGTCTAAAAGTGATATATTTACGTCGGTTGCGTAGGAAAAAAGGCCTTTCACTGTATCCTCTACATACAGATTTATATAAACATCACACGTTTGATTCTGTGTCTGTTCCCAAGTTAAAACAGTGGAATGCATTTCATTTTATCTATCAGTGAGATGATTTCTTTGAATCCTGTTTCAACCGGAAGAAACATTTATCCCCTTCTAAATTTAAGGAGTTCAAGATAACTTTCTGTGGTATAGCCACTGCATACATTCCACGTCTTACGAGTTAAAAACAGGAGAATCTTGTAAGAAATGTAAATATTTACTTTTTAAGCCCCGTCCTACGGGAAAGAAATATTAAAAGTGGTTAAATGACCCAGTGATAGCCGGTTTTTTGGGGGAAATTTTGTGGAACATGAGAGGTAATATTGATTTTAAGCTGGAAAAAGTTGATTAAAAATTTTATTG